CATGTATTGATGAATATAGGTAGATAAAAATTTTAGAGAGAAAAATAGAGGCTGGGTCACCAATATGAGAACATAGATAAGCAGGCACATTTGCGTGGTAGCTGGTCAGCTCATTTACAGGAGAATCTGTAGACAGAAACTTGGAGATTATGTGCAATCTATAGGCTGATCTAATGACTGTCATAAATGATAGTTTCACATAGATGCACCAACTGAAAAGTGACATACTGATGGTCCCCGATTTATGATAGTTCAACTTAAGATTTTTCGACTTTACAATGGTGTGAAAACAATATGCATTCAATAGAAACTGTACTTAAAGTACCCATAAAATCATTCTGGTTTTCACTTTCAATACAGTATTTAATAAACTTCATGAGATATTCAACATTTAGTTATAAAATAAGCCTTGTATTAAAGGATTTTGATCAACTGTAAGCTAATGTAAGTGTTAGCACATTTAAGACAGTCTAAGCTATGATTTATTATTTTTCATTGTATTTTTGTAGATATGGGGTCTTGCTATGATGTTCAATCGCTTGGGATTATTAAATGCATTTTCGACTTTAAGGTATTTTTAACTTACGATGGGTTTATCAGAATGTAACCCTATCATATGTCGAGGAGCATCAGTCAACATTTCTGTGATTTCTACTGATGAAGGTCACAAATATTGCTAATATCTCTATGTTTGTTACCTAGATTCATAATTGAAGGCCATGCTAAATTTCAGTTAGAAGTGAGTGGAAATACATTATTTATTTTAACATCTAAGAATAAGGACCCATTGTAACCTAGAATCCAGTATTCTGAAATCTTGATTTCTAGATTTACCAGTGTACTGGTATAAAGGAATATGCAATATAATACTGTCTTATGTGTATATATTTGCTATTTAAAAAAATTATTTCTAGAGAATAAGAATTATACAATTGCCTTAAATGTCTGTTACTTAATAAATAATGATAATTTAAATTGAATCAAAAGTTTAATAACTTTGTTTTTTCTACTTTTTTATCCTATACTTTTTTCTTTATTGCATGTGTATGTGTATGTATATACATGTATATATTTTGCTTCCTTTGAGTACTGAATTAAGTAATTCTAATATAAAAAGCTTGTGGATTTTAAACTGTCAGAGTCTTTTTATGCCCATGAATGTTTTCCTTTTACTCTTATACATGATTGATAATTTTGCTGGACATAGAATTCTAGGTTCAAAATAATTTAATCTTAGAAAGAACCCAAGAAGGCATTTTTTTCATTGTCTTCTAACATCCAGATTTGCAGATGATACTTTTGTATTCTAATTTCATGCTTTTGAAGCCAAAAATAACTCTTTTCATATTTCTGTAAAGGTTTTATGAAATTTTCTTTATTTTTGAAGTTCTACATTTTCACCAGGTTATGAACATTCATTCCTGCTTGGCAGTTGATGGTCCTTTTAGATTAAAGATTTGCATCTGTTTTTTCTAGCTCAGGTAAATTTGTTAATTATTCTTTCATTATTCAAGTCTTGTTCCTTATTAATTCTGTCTTTATAGAGTCTCTATTAAGTAGAAATTGAAACTTTTTAAATCTATATTTTTTCTGCTTCTTCACACTTTCTACACCTTTACCTTTCTTAATGCATTCTGGGACAATGGTTTGCTTGATCTTTGAGGTTGCTACTGTGTTCATTATTGTGTCCATACCAAAAAAAAAAAAAAAAAAAAAAAAACCCAGGTTTTTCTTAAAAATTAAAATTTTGCAAGAGCTTTTTCTCAAACATATATTGGGTCACAGATTCCTTAGTGCTTCTATGAACATATTTTTACCTTCGTTTTTTTCCTGTGATTTGGAAAGGGAGAGTAATTGTTAAATGTTTTAACCAACCATCTTGAATCTGGAATCTGCAGATTGCTGTCTAGTATGTGTCAGTTTCCATGTTAATCACTGGATAGACAACACAGGCATAGAGATCTCAATCAAGTGGAATATCATGAACATCTCAAACACTAAAGCATTTTCTTCTGAGGTACACAGAAAAAAGTGTGCGAGAGAGGTGATCTGAACAGCAAGTTGGGGCCCCTCATTCTGTATACTTTTTTAAGGTGTTTGATTTTATCATATACACAGTAGGTAGCTGAAAAGGGATTAATTTTTGTGTTTATCTGTTTTAGATAGAGATGACATCTTGCTATGTTAACCAGGCTGGTGTCGAAATCCAGACCTCCAGCAGTCCTTCTGACTCAGCCTCCCAAGTAACTGAGACTACAAGTGCATCCCACCACGCCTCACTGATTTATTATTTTTCATTGTATTTTTGTAGATGTGGGATCTTGCCATGTTTCTCAGGCTGATCTCAAACTCCTGGCCTCAAGAAATCCTCTTGTCTTGGCCTCCTGAAGTACTGGGATTAAGGGTGTGAGCCACTATGTCTGTCCAGTATGAAAAGTTTTTAGGAAAATGATTTTGTTAATACCGTGAAAGATGAAAAGAAAGAAGACAGGATTAGACAGGGGAAATCTTTTAAGAGGTAATTCCTGTAGTCCAGAAGCATCATTGTCATCTAACCATTTGTAATGGCATTAGAGGCTGGAAGAGGAGCATAAAATACTTTACCCAATATCTTTCCTAAAAGCATTTTATTAGAAACTGGCATAACATCTCATATAAGAGCTATATCATTAACCAACAACCACAATGGTCACCTTTTTGTAACTTATTTTGCTTGTTACTTTTTCCTTATCTGCACCGTAGTCAGGAGGAGTAGTGTCAGTAAAGTTTTATAATTTTGGTACTGTTATATGTTGTGTAAATTTTAGATCATGTATTTTATGCATAATGGGTAGATCATGGGCTGCTACAAGATGAAATTATATTAGAATTGTCTGAGTACTTGAGTATTGGTAGTTGGGAATCACGTGTAATTCTAAATTGTAAGCCCAAGTAACCAGATGTGATATTGAGAGGATGAGGCAATTCATCCCTAAATTCCAAGGCAGATTCTTCCCAAATATGTACTGCATGGTTGAAGATGACAATGTTCACTAGAAGAGTAGGGGCATTCTTAGGTCAAGGATAGCTCTCTTACTAATAGAATTTACAACAAGGTTACATTTCTCTGACTAGAAAAATGAGCATTGGCGATATTTAATAAAAGTATAGTATTAAAAGTAAAAAAAAAAACACACCAAATACTTGTTTTACTCATAGCCTTATGTAAAACAAAGCACTGATATTATTCCAGCAAGACAGATGTGGAGCAGGTGTTGAAATTTAAGGGATGAATAAGTAATATAGAGGCAGTAGATCAGTAATGGGGATGGATTCGTTCATCAAGGAAATGGGTATAAAACAATGAATTATTAAAACATCTCTTGATTGTTTTCTTTCAAAAGTTTTCTTACGTCAGATGTAAGGCAGAGTTTTCAGGTTAAAAATTTTGGCTATAAAGTGAAGCCATATATTCAGATTTTTCAGACTTCTGTATTTTGTAAAGATATTCCTGTAAAAGTCAGTTTCCCCATAGAGGCATATCTTTAAGTCTATACACTGGCAAACAAAATAGTTTTATAGTCTAATGTACAGAAGTTTCAGGCATATTTATATTAACAAGAGTATATATGAAAACATTTGCTTGAAAAGTATACCATGAATTGATGTCAAATAATACATAATTACGATTTCTATATATAGATAAAGTGACTTTCACTAAAATCCATATATTTTTTATTTTATTAAACAGTATAAAAATTCATTGAAAGTCAACTAATTTACTGTGTGTCTCCCAAACACCAGTCACTGTTCTAGATACCTGGGATACACCACTGAACAAATTAGGTGAAACATTCCTTTATTGAGGAACTTATATTCTTGTGTGGGGAGAAAGACTGAGCAATAAGCATATTATATAAGTTAAATACTTAGTAAAAAGTAATATGAAAAATAAAGCAGAAAAATAAAAAGAAACCAAGGTAAAAGGGAATCAGAAATGTGGGTGGGATAATTTAGTTTAAAATTTTAAATAGGTCTTAAGGTGGGTCTCATTGAGCAAGAAACATTTGTGTGAAGACATGAAGGAAGTGAAACAGTGGAAAAGGATTATGAAGTGCTGCCTTAAGCACTCTAAAAAAATACATTTGTTTTTATAGGGAAATGTTCTATTTATCTTTTACTTAAATTGCTGAATTATTTGGTTAGTCAAAATTCCAAATTCACATTACCCCAGCATCATTTCCTAAAACACACTGAAGTTCTTTTTACATCAATATCTACTTCTTTTGAAATAATTTATATCAATATATTTGTTCATGCCTATCTCAGAAACCAAAATGTAGGCGCTCCTCTTTTTAAAAAGAAATTATATATCTATATATATATATAAACAAACCAGGTTTTACACTTCTGAAAAGATAAATACATCTTTACTCACATCTCAACCTGGACTATATTTGAAATCATAAAGCTTTTTGATTTCTAAGATGATATAAAGTGATATAGAGATCTTTGAGTGAATGTAGGGCAAAACTATTTGAAGTCTTTATGCTTTCTGAGTTCAATAAATAGTTTTCCATTTGAAATATGTACATGTTTTGCCCTTCCCTATGTGTTCATCTTCCTACCTGAACGATATTTGTTTGCCGAGGGTACAAATGCCTGTGCAATGATAGCTTTATAGGCAGACGGGAGGTTCAATCTGATTGCACTGAATGAAGTACAGTGATCTGCACTCACTCTTTCATAAGATATTAATTTTGGAGGTTATTGGAATAAACCCTATACATTATATAGATTTGTCACTTTTATCTATTTTAAAATGTCTGTTTTTATTACCTTCTGACTATTGTCTCTCTGAGCTAAATATTAAACTACCTCTTCTTTATTTAGTCATTATTTTAAGGAGCTATGAATTTCATATGCCAACTTTTTAATTTAATTGATTAAAAGCAAAACTAATTTTCTTAATCACAGTTTGCTTGGCATTACACAGCCCAACTTGCAGGCAGAGAAAAGAATACAAAACAAATAAGCAATCTGTACTTAAAAATAAGTTTTGGACAGTAAAAACAAATGCAAAATTGTACTCAAGTAAGCCATGCTAATTAAGTGGTGGAGTGGTATTTTTAAAGAATAAATCAATGAAAGAAAATATCTTATGCCTTTTCTTTGAAAATTAAGCACTTTCCTGTGTTCTTATTTTTGGTTAGAATTTGGCGAGGGTAACTCAAAGAATAGTTCTGGATTATTCTTACTAATAAGATAAAAGAAAATAGCAAGATCAGTATTCACTCAGCTCTGTGGCATGTGGGGCAAACAAAAAGGGTCAGAAACTTTTACTGCTTTTGAGTGCGGGTGTGTATTTTTCAGTGTGATGAGGAAAACACCCACTAATCATGCTAACTTTGCAGCAGTTAAACATGACATATGATGCTGCTTTCTTAGTTATGTGTTAATGTATGTGTTTGCTGCTGTGGTTGTATGATATAATGTTTGATTTTCTTGATGTTGTTACACATCTTACAACAAATGACCTGTTGTTTAAAATGTATGTATATGACATTAACGCTCAAGCACTAATGTTATGCTTTATTAGGATTTAATGTATGGCAAATAATGTTCAATTTTTAACATCCACTTATTGTGCAGATTTTTTAAAACTACTGTTTGCCCAGCCCCAGAAATGCACAGAAACAAATAGGGTGGGTGAGGCTTTTGACCTCAGTGAATTCCCAGGTTATTGGCAAAGGCAAAGGGGCTGCAGAAATCAGTGTCATAGTGCACTAATTGTGGGAAGCTATAGCCACTATGAGGCCATGAAAGAAGAAATGTCTAACTCAGGGGGTGAGGCAGTGGGGAGAGGGGCATTTCAGAGAAAGGCCTCTGGAGGAGATGGAGTCTGAGCTGAGTGTCTTGGGAAAGCAGTATTTTGTTAGGTGAAGAAGGTATAGGGAAGGCATTTCAGTCAGGGAAAACAGAGTCTACAAAGCAGGGATTCAAGAGAGAACATTTGAAACACTTGTCGTTGTTAAATGCAATGACATTTCAGATATGCCATTTTCACTCAGAAAAATAAGCAAAATTGAGATGCCAAGTTTGGAAAATTGATATCCCATTTCACATCTGAATTATTGAGAAATCCTTAAACACAAAATGTGCATTCCTCTGCTGTTTTTGAAAACTGAATGTTTGAACATTACCTCTTTTGCTGAAAGTAAACACTTTTTAATGAACCAAAGTTTTCCTTAATTTTCCTAAATATACTCTATTAGAAAGAAAATACAGATTTTCCTTGCATCAGGAAATTCACATGCTCGATTTTAAGCATTTTTTGGAATGAACAATACACAATGAAAGATGTTGCTTTTGTCTGGAGCCACCTTCCTGGGCCTGCTAGCAAACTCAGACCCTCACGCTTTCACACCTGAGGCACAGCTGCCAACCACATCAAGGTCATCATCACAGGATGTTGATGCACACATTCACACACACAAATAATAAACTTACATGCATTTTCCTTGGGGACAAAAGCAAATGGTATGGTTGAGTGTTCTTTGTCTTTAGCAAAGTGGCATGGTGGACACTATGTTTTATTTTAAAACTTTTAAATAACATTTATGTATTTTCATACATAAGTGGAATTCAATTCTGTCCAGTCCAGATAGCTGTTTCCCAAGGTGTGACCTTGGACTGTCTAAGTCAGAATAACCTAGCATATTTTGAGAAAGTACAAATTTCCTGGTTCTGTTCAAGATCTGTTGAACCAGAATCTCTGGGTATAAGTACAGATGGTTTATTTTTAGCAAGTCCCAGAGTGATTTCTTGTCACCCTAGAGAACCACTAGTATAGATCTTGCCACTGCTTTTGCCAAGGGTTAAGTATTTAGAGCCCAAAATAAGTGAAAACCAATAGCATATGTTTGTTTGACTCGATCCATCAAACTTAAAAACATATATACATATATATGTGTGTGTATATATATATATTTCAGAATTGTCGTCTCGTAGCCTTTTTTATAATTTCAGACTCCTTGTAGTTACCACGGAGTATACCACAAACATCATAATTTTTTGTGCATCTCATACTTTCAGAAGTCCAAAGCTCAATTTTATGAAGCATGGACTGCCTAGCATTTATTTCATCCTGACACATTTGAATTTGTCTTATAGAAAATTTTTTCTTTTTTACTAATTTATACCTCTCAAGGTTACATTTGCCTACAAACTCTTCTTTTGGTATTTTGGTATTTATGATGGGCATTGAAACCTACTTAAATTATTTCTGACATACATTTTCCTTCAAATGCCATAAACATTTTTTTCTCTCATCAAAATGTCTAGTGTTAGTTTTCTCTATTTCTGGTCTTAAAAAATATCCACAATTACCATTTCTCAATATAATTTTTGCATAGGAGATATTTATCTTTTTAGATGGTATCATAATCCCCCCCATGCTATTTTGTAAAAATACTCTGAGTCCTCTTGGATTCATAACTGGAGCAAGTGAGGGGCAGGAATGATTTTAATGTTTTTTTTCTTACCCTCTGTTTCTCCATACCAGGTGACAAATGAGTGAGTTGTGTGTACTTGATAATGTAAGGACATTTTCCAGCACCACCAATGCTAGAAAAGCAAACTAACATGGGATCCTCAAAATAAAACTGTGATCACATAGAATGCCGGAGCAAAATCTCATTCTTAACATCTCATTTCTGAATAGTTGTGTTACTGTATCTGTCAGCATTCAACTGGGAAACAAAACTGCTATATGTGGAATCCATAATAAAAAGACCTTATACAAACGTGAGGACAAAGTTGAAGAGATGTCCAAAAGGAGGAGTTGAAGAATCAGATAAAAACCACTCAGTGGTCCTTTTGACACACTGGTATGAGAGAGCCAGTAGCTTATAGGAAATTCTGGGAAGCTAAGGATGTCCAGGTGCTGAAGTTGTACTGTGAAGTGGAGATGGCAGGGAAGTACATGGAAAGCTGTTGCCTCTGTGTCTGGTGGTGTGTCTGGGGTGGCAGTTGGTCAGCATTGCCACAGATGGGAAGAAGAACTGGACATGGAACAGAGGTGAAGTGAGTAAAGACAAGCTGGAATCTATAGGCATCTCTGCATCTGTCGTTCACTGCTTCTAGCCATGACAAACTTCAGAGTACAGTGACTACAGCTTCACCTTCATTTTTTTTCTTTTTTTTTGAGATGGAGTTTCCCTTTTGTCACACAGGCTGGAGTGCAATTGCATGATCTCGACTCACTGCAACCTCTGCCTTGAGGGTTCGAGTGACTTTCCTGCCCCAGGCTCCTGGGTAGCTGAGATTATAGGCATATGCCACCAAGCCTGGCTAATTTTTTTTTTTTTTTAAAGTAGAGACGGGTTTTTACCATGTTGGCCAGGCTGGTCTTGAACTCCTGACCTCAGGCGATCCACCCTTCTCTGCCTCCCAAAGTGCTGGGATTATAGGTGTGAGCCACCATGCCTGGCCTACCTCCAACTTTTAAAAACCTCATGTGAATTTCTATTTTGATCAACTATAATCTGGAGCCATAAGTGAAAGCAAACTTTGGGAAAATTCTTCCAGCATAGCCAATTTGATAAATTATCAATAGGAAACCTTTATAATCTTTATTAATTTAATGCATATACTTCTATTTTCTTCTAGAGCATTATGTTTTTTTTTTTTTTCAGTTATAGCCAAGATTTTGTTTTAATCTGCTTTAAAACAGGTAGAAAACTATAGCCCCCCCCTCTTTCTTTTATATACTTCCTACCTTGCTGATAATGTATTTTTCCTTATTGAGAAATATGTTATTGAGAAGTTGTATGAAATATCTGAAAACACTAGGATCTACATCTTCATGACTTGAGCCATAAGTCATTCACGTCTCTGGATCTGATCCACCACATTTCACAGGACATATAGGAGTCTTTTGATAGCAGCATACTCCAAGCTGAGGAATCATTTGTTTGTTAGTCCTTGCTGTATAACAAACCACCCTAAAACTTAGAGGCTTAAAACAGCAACAATTCCTTAATTCTCCCGATTCTATGGGTTGGCTGGGTGCTTCCTCTGCTGGTTTCATAGACTTACCTGCAAAGTCCAAAATGTCTGGCAGTTGGTGCTTGTTTTGCTTTTGTGTGCTTTATCATCTTCTAGGAGGCTAGACTGGCTTGCTTTTGTATTGTTCTCAGGGCAGCACTCCAATACAACAAACTGGAAGCCTGGAGACCTTTCAAGGCCTAGCTTCAGGTATCATACAATGTCACTTCTGCATATTCTTTTTGTCAAAGTTCTTCACAAGGCAAGGCCAAATTTCAGGACGGGGGAAATACGTTTCACATCTGATGAGAGGAGATGCCAAATGCTGTGGCCATGTCTTTCAAGGCACAATTTCATCTTAAAGGAGAAATTATCAGCTAGATTTCTTTAGTAAGAAACTCCACCCTCTGCCTCCTCCTCTTCCTTCCCAAAATACACAGACACTACTAATCATTTCTTATAAGTATCAGTGGTTCTCAGTTGGGTGCAATTTTGCCCCTATCTCCCTTCAGGGACATTTGGCAATGACTGGAGGCATTTTTGATTCTCAGCCAGCCTTGGGAGTTACTACTGGTGTCTAGTGGCTAGAAACCAGAAACGGCGCTACACACCCTGCAATTTATAGAACAGCTCCCTATTACAATCAGTTATCTGGTCCACATTATGCTGAGATTGAGTAACCCTGCCTTATATGGAATGTAATTCTAGTAAGTTGCCTGAGTAGAACTTTGGTCAAGAGTAATACCTAAAGGGATTCTTTTTACGCAGTCTGAAATGATTTAAAATATTGAAGGAATCATAAATTTCTTTTTGGGTGGAAAGGGACTAGTTATGGAAGCTGCCTTTCTATCATTCATTATTTATGAGCAAACCATTTTAGATAGAATATGATCCACTCAAACCCTTCTTTAAGATTCAAACTGAACACAATATTTAGACTTTTGAGACTCTGCCTATTAGTTTTAATTTTCACCTCTCATTCTGGCTTTTGCCTTTGTAAACATACATCGTTTTAGCTACTTTTGTCAGAAGTCTTTTAAGAACTTTTCCACATTGCTTTAAAGTTTGAAAATATGTATTAATTGGTTAAAGCCATTGTCTTTCATTAAATCAGAAATAACAGTTTACATAGAACCCCTGTGATTTTTCTACTTGTATCTTTAGATATGGGCTGATAAAAGTTAAACATTCTCTACCACATTGTTGTTATGAGAGGCTGAAATTTTCAAGGTTTCCCCTCCAGAATAAAACATGGTGCAATTTAAAACAAAATGAGATGAATTGGTGATAATGCAAAATAAGAATTGTGTACAATAAGCTAGATTTCCTTACGGCAGAGAAAAATAAAAATGCTGAAAGGGGATACTAGGGACAGTTTTTTTTTTTTCATTGTTTTAAAAATAAGAATTTCAAAAATAGAAATGGGTAGAAACTAGTTATACACTGTAGCCCTTTTCCATATTCCATACAGTTCTTGGGTTACTACTGGCTTGGATGGTCACCAAGTTTGGTTATTCACATTTCTCACCCTGACACACCCCATCTGCTCCCTCCTGAAGGTATGTGATCACAGGTAGCATGCCTTATCAAGCAGTATGTAGCGACATCCCCTGTCAACTGACAAAGGCTGTTTGTTGTGCCTGTTCCAAAGCAGTGTTTACTGATAATGGTGGAGTGGGTACATAATTTGAATTCCTAAGCAGAAGTTTATTACATTAGCTCAGGCCTGAGGATTCTTGCACAATTTTGAGAGAGAGTGCAAGAAAGAGAGAGAGAAAGAAAGATAATCCTTGAAAATTCAAGAATCCATTGAGATCAATAAAAGAGTTATTCTAATCTGCAGATGAGACCAAACCCACAGCTGTAATTAAGATC